TAATCTGGGTTGGATACTAGGAAATAAGTAGATCTTATCAAAGAGCAAGGATTGCTCCTTGGAGAACTTGGTTATCTTGTAGTCCGATTTTTGCAATGGAACTTGCCCATTCCCATAGCTGCCCTGAAGAATGACTTTGTCTTGCTCCTCCTTGTGGTTGGATGAGACAAAGCTTATGAAACTGTGGGATACTCCATTTACCACAGGATCGAAGAGTCAGACCAGGGCCCTTACGCCATTATTCTGGCTCCTACCCGTGAGTTGGCTCAGCAGATCGAGGAAGAAACCATCAAATTTGGAAAGCCACTAGGTATCCGCACGGTGGCTGTCATTGGTGGCATCTCCAGAGAAGACCAAGGCTTCAGGCTACGCATGGGTTGTGAGGTTTGTTTTTCAAATGAGCATTAATTAATTCTAGTGACAGTGAAGTAAAACATGCCCCTGGCAATACCGAAGCATGCAAGGCAGCCCGTTTATACTGGGTCTCATGATCTGAGTTGACGAGGATGACTGACCAGGTCTCTTCCTCACAGAGCAGGTTCCACTGAGATACAAACTCGGATCACTGGATTCAGAGTTCACAGAAGCTGGTGCAGTTAATTATAGTAATATATACTAATTAGTAATGCTAATAATTAATGGTCATCACAACAGCCATATGAGAGTGGGTAGTGATATAGATTATACACTGTTTTATAGATGAAGACGAAGTTAATAACTTGTCTGCAGTCACACATGGCTGTCAGTGGGCCACATGGAAGAGGGAATGGTTCATAACTAAAGCCTGTGTTCTCATTACTCTTGTAAAACCATAGATGAAGAGATCCTTTAAGGAGTCTGCTAAGAGAGTGTTCTTGTGTAGATGTCTCAGTGTAATCCCTCCGTGTGGTATTAGCCTTTCTCCATCTAAGGAAGAACCTCTTGCATAGCCACCTGCCTGACCCTGGTCTTACTCAGAAGCCCCATTCATTCCTGAAGGAAATGGAAGGTAGCAGATGATGTCATGTCAGTTCTCAGGAACCTTAAGTACCAAATTTGACTGGAGGTTGGAGTTCAGGTTCCTTCGCATTGAAGGTCTGTTGCTAAGTGGGTGGATAGTTCACAGGAGAAAGAAAAGAAGGAATTTGCCTGCTAAGGCCGTGTTTGATTATGCCGTATCTCCCAGATTGTGATCGCCACCCCAGGACGTCTCATCGATGTGCTGGAGAACCGCTACCTGGTGCTGAGCCGCTGTACCTATGTGGTTCTGGATGAGGCAGACAGGATGATTGACATGGGTTTTGAGCCAGATGTGCAAAAGATCCTGGAACACATGCCTGTCAGCAACCAGAAACCGGACACAGATGAGGCTGAGGACCCAGAGAAGATGTTGGCCAACTTTGAGTCAGGAAAACATAAATACCGCCAAGTAAGGAAACTTCCTTGGGAGAAGTGGGGCCAGTTCCCCAGTCTGTTTTCATACCCTTCTTGCCTAGTGTGGGCCCAGTGCATGTGCTTCCAGCATGCTAGTGGTGCCTGGTGCAACCCTCTGGGCCCAGTGCACATGCTTTTAGCATGCTAGTGGTGCCTGTGTACAGTCCTCTGTGGGCCCAGTGCACAAGTCCAAAGGGTGGAACTGTTTAGATTAACCTGGAAAACTGTTCCTAGAGAATCATGCTATGTAGAAAAGAAAAAAATAGTGCCAGGCATGGTGGCTCACACCTAAAATCTCAGCATTCAGGAGGCAAGGCAGAAATATTGCCCAAGGTTGAGGCTAGCTTGTTGTACATGTGAATTCCAGATCAGTCATATCTACATATCAAGAAAGCTAAACAAAAGTAAGGAATCACAGTGCTCTCTGGATCACAGGTTGTAGCAAATGCTTCTGGTCCTTCTTGCCATAGATAAAAAGTAAAGATCATTGTTTCCCAGGGTGACAAGTATCGGATTTTTAGCAGGACTCATTTAATGTCTTTAGCCTGAGATGAGCTGTCTGTGGTGACTGACAGCAGGGTATGTAGTTCCGTCTGCCTGGGCCCAGGGCTGAACCTCCTGTTTTATAGACAGTCATGTTCACGGCTACTATGCCCCCAGCGGTGGAGCGTCTAGCCAGAAGCTATCTTCGGAGACCTGCTGTGGTGTACATTGGCTCTGCAGGCAAGCCCCATGAGCGCGTGGAACAAAAGGTCTTCCTCATGTCAGAATCAGAAAAGAGGTATGGAGCCAGCTGAGCTGGGATACCTGGGTGGAAAGAGGGCTTTCGTTTGACAGTTCCTTTCATTGTGGGGTAGCTGTTTCACTGTTGAAGGATCCTGAAGTTTGCTCACTGTTGGGGTTGAGTGTTTCACTGGGTCAGGAGTACTGTGTATCTCATTTTCCTTTTCCCCCAGGAAAAAGCTGCTGGCAATTTTGGAACAAGGTTTTGATCCACCCATCATCATTTTTGTCAACCAGAAGAAGGGTTGTGACGTGTTGGCCAAGTCTCTTGAGAAGATGGGGGTATGTCTGGCAGGCAGAGCAAAGACTAACCTTGCTGTTGCTGCTCTCTGACACTAGGGACAGGGTGGGCAGTGCCAGGTCTCCTCACTGTTTAATCTCTGCAGCATCTAACGAAGCAGAGCCAAAAGAAAAGTGTGGTTTGAGGAAAGAAGGAAGTAACTTCTCTTCTAGCCACAGCAGCTAGAGCCCCTGTGGATCTCCATGTAATGGTGTGGGGCTGTTGGAGAGGGGTGTGTGCTGTCTGAGATGGTGTAGTGACTGAGGAAGTGCTGACAGCCAGCCCCTGAACTGCTAATGAGGCAGAGGGTGTCCTCACCACTCAGCTCTTGACATTCTTAACTTTCCTGCTCCATTTCCACGTGCCCGGATTTTCCTTCAGAACCTGTCATCTGCTGGGCTCTCACCTCAGCAGATTGCTCTGCCCCGCCCTCACCGCCCCCCCCCCAGCACTCCGTACTTCCTTCATTTTCTGCTCTAGCTCACTTCCTACTTTCCTCACTTCCCTTCAACTCCTTTTCTTGCTTCCTGTGCTCTCTCCTACCTTCTGCCCCCCCAGTCCTCATTCCTGCTCCCTTTTTTCTTCTGTCTTCCACAGTACAATGCCTGTACACTGCATGGTGGAAAAGGCCAGGAGCAGCGAGAATTTGCATTGTCCAACCTCAAGGCTGGAGCCAAGGATATTTTGGTGGCTACAGATGTGGCTGGTCGTGGTATTGATATTCAAGATGTGTCTATGGTTGTCAACTATGATATGGCCAAAAATATTGAAGGTGAGTGCCAGCGAAGGTGGCTTCAGTTCAGGGTAAGGAGAGACCACTTGTATCCTCCCTCTCAGAGTCAGGGTGCTCTGAAAAGCTGTTCTAGTCTGGACGATGTGGCCCCAGTGTCTATGATGACACTTCATGGGGGCTAGTTGACCCTTAGTGTTGCCACGTGACTAGTCAGCAGTGGGAGACAGGCAGAGAGGCGAATACTGTGGCTTCACCAGGTGTCAACAGCAGGAGCTGAATTGCTTGCCCATGGAGGTTGGGTGGGGTAGAGTAGCCATCAGGACATCTGTCTTGGTCTGGAGTGACATCCTTCTGCTCCACAGATTATATTCACCGAATTGGCCGCACTGGAAGAGCAGGCAAGAGCGGTGTAGCCATCACCTTCCTCACCAAAGAGGACTCGGCTGTGTTCTATGAACTGAAGCAAGCTATCCTAGAGAGCCCGGTGTCGTCCTGCCCTCCAGAGCTAGCAAACCACCCCGATGCCCAGCACAAGCCAGGCACCATCCTCACCAAGAAGCGCAGGGAAGAGACCATCTTTGCTTGACACAACACTTGATTGCATTGATAAACGTGCTCCGAAGAGAGTGCCTGTCCTTTTAACCCTCACATCCCTCTTTCCGGGCTCTCATTCTTGGGTATGGGGTTTAGGAAACAATCAGATTTCCTGGTCCAGAGCCTGTGAGGTGGGCTCCATGGGGACAGGAAGATGGAGGAGCATATTACGTCAGGTTTCATCCAGCTCTGCCCCTTGCAGCCTTGTTGCTGTCCTGGTTACAGGGCAGCTGCCTAGCCCTGTCCCCCAACCTGAACAAACACCTGGCCACCTGGAGGTGACTTCCTTCAGCACATGTGTGACTGTACTGCAGTTCGTTGTTGCCCTAACTGACCCAGGGGATTTGGCATCATGAGGATTGTGGACCTTGGACTCTGTCACTCTGACAACAGGTTGAGAGCCTTCAGAGCTGTGCACAGCCCTATGCCACAGGGTGCTGTGCACTCTAGGCATCTCCGCCCCCCCAACCCGGTACTCTTTTTTAGATATGGGGACTGGGTGAGCTGATGAGCTGACTGTGTCCATCATTAAGTCACTGAGTGAAATTTCTGTTTTCTATTCTCTGAGAAGATAAGTTTATATGTTCTGAGAATAAATACATGAATATTAAGGTTGTCTCTAGGTCTGGCTAATCTTCCTCTCTGGGAACCACAGAAGTCAGCAAAAACAGCATTGGCTGAACATGGGTTAGCTGAGAAAATGAGAGACAGCCACACTAAAAGAAAGGCCTAGTTTCTCAGCTAGTACGTTTATCTGTAGGCAACACTGGAGGGCAGATGGGCGAGCATGGCAGCAGGACGTGCCTGATCTGGCTTCCCCTGCTCCTGGTTAGAGTCAGCACTGGAGTTAGGTCTGACGAGGACCGGTCCCTGTCCTCTTCAGACACGTGCTCTCCTTAGCCCCTGGAAGGTAGGCAAGCATGTGAATTCAAGTTCCAGCTTACTTGTGGAGCCCTGGAGGACAGTAGGAAGCTTTGTCCATGCTGCTTCCTCCCTTCTGCACTGCCAACCATCTCCCTCCAGACACTGGGCCTGGGATGTGTTGTGCCCACAAATACAATGCTTCTTGCAGTTGCTGTTTTCCCTTCCCACTCTGGAATCCTTGGGGAGAAAGGGGCCAGAATACTGCACAGACTTTGCAGACTTAGGCCACACAGTAATACAGAACCATGAGTCAACACACCAGAGACACCTGAGGACTGTGCATGGTGTTTATTGGAGATGACAATGAGGTGGGGCAGGTTCTTAATGGAGCATGCTCTGTAGGTCACACGCTAGAGCCATAAGGCAAGGATAGCCAGGTGGACAGCCTCTGGGGGCTGTCCACTGTGTCCTAGTGTCCTCATCTAACCCTAACTTAACAAGCAGCAGCTATGAGTCAGGGAGCCTGGTCTTGCAGGAGGCTTGGAGGGAAAGAACAGAAATGACAGATGCAAGGGCAAAAGAATGAGAAACGCATGGGGGCCGGAAGCTGCTCCTCCCTCCCCCGCAGTCCGAGCTTCTGGCTTCACTGTGCTCCAGTTCCCTAGGCTTGCCAGATGCTAAGCTTCCTGGTTTGGAGAGGAGGGCCTTTGTCTAGCAGAGCTTCCGCTGTGAGTCTGTCTAGCCTCACCTGCACTGCTCCTGTCTTAGGTGTCCTTGCCCACCCCAGCTGACATACAGAAGTGCTACCATGTTGAGCTCTGATTGTTTCTTTTCTGATGTGTGGCAGTGAGGAGAGTAGAGGCCCTTGTTAGGACTCATGCTGTACTGCCCACGCTCCCACCCCCGTTATTAGAGGGGCATCCATTCTGGTCGGGCGTCCCCTGCTAAGTGATCCTGGCCTGAGATCACTGCCCACTGCGGCAGCTTGTGCAGGTGAGGAAGGTGCCAAGGGTACAGAACACAGCTAGTACCTGGGATGAGAGCCTACGGGGTCACTGTGCCCAGGAGGTGAGGGGGCCCCTTGCTTCTCCCAGAACCTTGGGACCACAATCAGCCCTGGACCAGGGGCTGGGCAGGGGGTTGTGGGAGCTGAACCTAGTGGCAGCCTAATGCCAGTCTAACTCCAACCTGCCTGAGGTGGGCACCCCAGCCGCTGTGCCTGTGCCTGCCAGGGTAGGGCAGGTGGTGGTCAGTAGCTGTCCTTAGGCCAAGGCCGGTTACGCTGCCAGTTCCGGTCATTGTGGTCGTGCTCCGAGTCCTGGGCTAGGAGCCGGTCTTGGGGGTCTTGCCCATTAGCACTGGGAAGCCCCGAGGTGTGTTGGCGGTGAGGCTGGTACAGGTCCTGATAGGCATCTGCATAGTCCTCCTCCAAATGGCGGGAGCTGCGCTGTGAAGATCCGGTCCAGGCCTGGCGGGAGCTCTCGCTGGCCTCATCTGAGGGCATCAAGCTGTCCCGCTCCAGGGGCGAATGCTCTTCACCACGCTCCCCCAGCAGCTGCTGGTTCTGGGGGCCACACAACAGCTCTAATTAAGATGAAGCAGACCTAGCCTTTGCTTCTCCCAGGACCCTGACAGGGAGGTGGGATTCTTCCCCCTCTATTCTCAGTTCCCAGGTTTTGTTTTAAATAGTGTGAGGAAGGAAGTAAGCTGGGGCATTCTTCTGGGCCAGACATAGAAAGCTGGAGTTTGGGCTCCTGCAAATTCAGGCTCTCCCTTAAAAAGTGACTGGGAGAATGGGGATAGAATGTTTCCACTGACCCTGGAAGGCCCATCTCTGATTACTCATTCACTGTGCTCTTCAACCAGGAAGCTCCTTGACCTATATGCCCTAGGTCTGTAGAGCAAGCTGAAGCAGAGCTGACAGTTGTACCATCCCTGGCTTCACATGCAGACCAAGGGCAATCCCTTTGGGCAGGGCAGGAGCATCACTTGGACTGTGTAAGCCTGCACATTTTGCCCACTGGAAATGGTTACCTGAAGTCCAGGGATGGCACTAGGAGGGCCCAGAAGTCCAGGGCCAGGCGCTGGATGGTGGGTAGCACGCCAGTAAACCTCTAGGTATTCGGCCAGGTGTTCGCAGGCGTCTTCCAGCTGGTTCTCATCCAGAATCACATCGAATGACTCCTGGAGAGAAAGCACACGAGGAGGTTGGCTCCTCAACAGCAATCCCAGAGCTCCTGCACCCTGGAATAGGGTGCGGCTGCAGCTGACCCAAGCACTCACTGGTGGGCACTGAACCAGCTTGTCATATGCCATCATCTGTACTGTCAGATGCTTCATCTGCGACTTCCCCCGGGAGCGGATGAGCCGCTGGAGTACCTGAAGGAGAAGGGCAGAGATAGGCCGAGAGTCTCTAGGGCTCCAGTCAGAGCTGGGCCTGGAAGGAACTAGGCACATTCTCAACTTGTAATAGGGTATTAGAGTATCAGGTGAGTATGCCTCAGTGTGGCGGTCACTCCAGGCAGGGCCCAAGCAGGGGTGCACTATATTCTAGGGGACAGACATCTCCCGTGGGACCCCAATCACCCCAGTTTCACTTACCTTCGGTGAGGATACTTTGACGAAGACGATGATGGGGGCCAATGAGGTCTTGGCTAGCTGTGCTGGGTGGTTGATGGTATCAGCATCCAACACAACTAGCTGCAGGGATTTGGCCAGCTCGAATATGCGCTCTATCTCACTCTGCACTTCAGCTAAGGAAGGGGAGCAGCTCACCAGGGGCTCTGCCCACTGTTCAATCCAGGGCTTTGAGGGCTGCTATGCGGTGAGGCAGGCAATGGACTGGGCCAATGAGGGCAGACCTGGGGCAGGTGGTGGGGCATGGGCAAAAAAAAAAAAAAAAGTTCTGACAAGCGTCGAGTAGGCAGAGAAGCAGAACAAAGGAGTGCTCACCAATGCTGGATCGGGCAGAGGAGCGCTCAATGATGGTCCTCTTGCCAGGGTTGTTGAGCACAGACCGCTTAGCCAGTGAGAGGTCAGCTGTGACCCGCGTGATAGAGATCCTGGTGTGGAGGGTCACAGCGGCCTTCAAACCCAAGGCCTTCTTTACCCAGCTCCAACTCTCCTCGGGAGGAGAGTAGCTCTGGGCATGAGGAATTATTTTCTTCCCGACTCTCATTCCATTCCAGGCCAGGGCAACTTACCTGCCATCGAACCTGTGTTTTAGGAAGTCAAAGAGAGCCTTCTGCATCATGTCCGTGACCTGGAGGAGAGGGTATGGCACTGACAGAAGGTCCCAGGAGGCAGGCAGTGTCCCTAAGAGTTCACGCCCTCCACCCAGACTGTCCCCACTGTCCTCACCTCATAACCTTTCAGCGAGGGTCCCACCAGCACCACAGGCCGCATGGAGGGCACCACATCATATGGGGGAACATGTTCCGCCTGCAGAATGGCCAGGAGGTCAGACAAAATCTTGGTCTTGGTACCCACTTTATGCCTGATTGTTCTGAGGGCAGAGTCAAGAGCTCTGGGTTCCCTCCCCTCTGTTCTGCAGATGCCAGCAGTGACTTGACCAGAACCAAAATCCACAATGACCCCCCCAGCCCCCAGGTCCAGGTCCCCTTCCGACTCACCTGCTTCTGCTTCTGCTTGGCTTTTGGGAAAGGAAATAAAAGATTAAAGTTGGTGAAGGGAAAAGGGCCTGGGGGGCATGGTAGTCCCTTCCCCAGGGGAGAAAAGGGGGTTCTCCTGCTTTTACAATCCCTCCACCAGCCCCTCCCCATGAAGCTCACTGAGGAGAACCCCCTTCCACTGTCTTGTCTGCCCATCCACCCATGAGTGAGCTGAGGGGAGGCTACCTAGAGATGGAGGAGGAGAGCGTCGGTTGCCAATGTCACTCAGGCTGGAAGGGTTCCCAGATCTCCTGACAGAGATGGGGGTGGTAAAACAAAAAAAAGGGGGGGGTTGAATGTGTCCGTCAGTTCTAGACATTATTTAATGATTTACAAATTAGTAACCTTTATGACAGTTAAGCATGTATGTTATGTGCATACATGTATGTTATGTGTGTATGTGAGTGTGGACTTGCATGGTATAAACATGCAGCTGTGTTCTGTGGGTCAGGTGTCTGTGTGTGGGGTGTGTGTTTATTGAGTCTCAGCACCGTTCTCACCTGGCTTTCTGTTCCTGTTTGAGCCGGATGCTTTCCAGGCGCTGGGGGCTGGGGATGAAGGCGATGTCTCCCCCCTCTTTCACTAGCCTCCCGATCCACCAGTCGTTGCTGTACTTCTAGGAATGGATAAGAGTGGGGAGGAACTGTGAGAGGCACTGGCCCAGGCTTCTGAGCCAGGGAAGACTTTGGGAAGCTGGTGTAAGGAAGGCAGAAGAAGGGCCAAGAAGAGTATGACGGCATCACAGAGAGTGCAGCCAGGTTCCCGCCACAAGTCATGTAGCATCGCAGATGTCACAAGAGACTACTGGTTACTCTAACTTCCCCTACTTAGACACAGAACTGAGGACCAAGCCAGGTCTGAGAATGGTGGGGACCTTTGGAATCAGGTCTCTGTATGAGGGGTGCACAGGTGTGCACACACAGATGAAATGGAGGAGTCAGGTCTGTGTATGAGGGGTACACAGGTGTGCGGACACAGATGGGAGTCAGGTCTATGTATGAGGGGTACACAGGTGTGCGGACACAGATGGGAGTCAGGTCTGTATATGAGGGGTACACAGGTGTGTGCACACAGATGGGAGTCAGGTCTGTGTATGAGGGGTACACAGGTGCACACACAGATAAAACTGCAGGAGTTGAGGACTTATTTTAGATCTAGAACTGAAGAGGCACTAGGACCTGGGACAGCAACAGGAAAATTAAGTGCTAGATTATGCTTCGGGGGAGAATAAGGTTGATTACCTCTTTAATGTGCAGAAAATCTTTGGCCTCGAAGTTGACTCCAGAGCCCTGGACTGGGCACTCCTCATCCAGCACCCCACAGTAGCTGACATTGGTCCTCACAGCAAATGCCACAGGTTTGTGCTGGGAAATTTGATCACCAGGGCAATGAGAGAGACCAGAACATCTCTTGGGGGAAGGCAGGCAGAGGCCTCAGATGAGAAGCCTCTTGCCCGCCACACACACTTTTCCACACCCTGACGTGACCCTGGGGACCTGAGATCGCGCACAGGTTTGCTCCTAGCCTGGCCCCCTGCCGGCAGGTATACCTTGGCTCTCTCCAGCTGCTGCTGAGCCTGGCTCTCCACTTCTCGCCTGGCACTCTCCCGGTCCTCCTCCAGGGAGACGTCTGAGTCCAGAGAGGGGCGGCTGGTGTAGGAGTCGGCTGAACCCTGGGACGGGAGAATCTGTGTAAAAGGCCCCTCCTAACCTTAATGCTACTTCTCTACCTTCTATTGAATGATTTGACCCTTTACACTGCTTCTTGTGTGCCCCCCAGTGTCTCTGAGGCTACAGGGAGGCTGGCCCAATCCATGTGTACAAAGATCAGGGCCCACACCTATCAGAATAGAACCTTCACTTTCCCCTCTCTCTTCCCCCCTCTACCATGTCCTCTGAAGCAGAGGGAAGGGAAGAATACTATATATGATGTATTTGAGATGATGTCGAATCCAGAAAACCAGGACCTCTTATCCATGCTAGCCTGAAGCAACCTGGCCATTATCCCTTTAAGACAATTGGCAAGAATACAGCTAGTCAGAGCTAGGCATGGTGGTGCACACCTACAATTCCAGCACTTGGGAGGTAGAGGATCAGAAGTTCAAGTTCAGCTGCAGCTGGAAAGAGGTAAAAGCCATCCTGTGTTACTTGAGACCCTCCCTCCAAAGAAGAAGAGGAGAAGGAGGAGGAGGAAGAGGAGGAGGAGGAGGCGGCGGCGGAGGAGGGGGAGGAGGAGGCGGAGGCGAAGGAGAAGGAGAAGAAGAAGAAGAAGAAGAAGAAGAAGAAGAAGAAGAAGAAGAAGAAGAAGAAGAAGCCGCCAGACGGGATAGGGGATGGCAAGATTGAGTAAAGGCATTCTCTGCTTTAACAGAATAACAGGATAATCACATCCATGGAACCAACAGTGGAAACAGAAAACCCATCTCTAAAGTCGTCCTCTGATCACACAGTGGCATGTGTGTGAGCTTACACACACATGTACACAGTAAATTAAAACACATGCATGCATGCACAACCCTGTCCGGATGTGGCCATTTGATCACTAAGGCTTTCTCAGAGATTTTTGTTGCTCTTATTCGAGTCAGGGTCCACTATGTAGCACTGGTTAGCCTAGAACTTTCTATACAGACCAAACAGATATTTGCCTGCCTCTACCTTCCAGATGCCAGTGTGCCACCACTGCCTGGCTTTTGAAATCTGTTAAACGAATGACTACTTGCCTTACAGTGTGAAGATTGGGCCCAAAGTCGCAGACTCTTAGACTTGACCTCTCCTTTGCTCTCCCCACCCACTACTTTCTTTCCTCCCACACCTGCTAGAACTGGAAACTGGCCAGGTGTCAGCAGCAAGAAGACAGAATGAGAAAGCAATACAAAGCTATCTCCTGGGTACAGGTGAGGCTATCACACCTACCACCTGGCCTGTAGCTCCCTCGCCTTCCCCAGGGTCCAAGGGATAGCAGGCCCTGGAGGGAGGCTACGCTGGCGCCAGGCAACCCAGCTGAGATACAGGACTTTGGGGATGGGGTGCTTTTGGTAATGTGAACAAGAACAGTCTTTGAACCCTGCTCATAGTAGGATCTTAGGGTAAGGAGTGTACATTTGAAGGGTTGCAGAGTTCATCTTCAAGACCATAAAGAAGATGCCAAACTTTGAGACAAGCAGCTGAAAGTTAAGGTAACTGGATTAGGGAAAGAGGGATCTTTTCTGAGACTCAGTTTCTCCTTACCTGCAGCTGTCTGGAGGGACTCTTCCCTGACAGCGGCACAGAAAAGGTAAAAAAGAGTGTGTGTAGAAAAAGAGGTTTCAGAATGTCCAGGTTGAAGAACAGTACCTAGCATCCTCGGGCTAGGGGGCTAGGACCAACTACTAGGCAGCAGGAGTCAAACTCTCTTTGGAGAAGGCAAACACACTCCTGCTGTCGACCCTGCCTCTCCCCCAACCCTGCCTGTGCAGAGACCTGGAGTCTGAGCTGGGGGCTGTGTCTATGGTAAACCAAAGGCTCAAGGCAGAGCCAAAGCGGGAAAGCCTTTTGTTCTGCACAAGTGGAGGCTGTTTGCTGCTCCCCAACTCTCTGGTCAAGGCAGAACAAGGCTGAGTCCCAGAAAAAAAAAACCTTGACATGGCAGCGTGAGGAACCTCACTCCAGGACGTAAGTGCTAGCTGCAGGGTAAGGCTTGCAAAGCCGGGTAGAAGCCAGCAGGTGAGAAAGGCCAGAGCAAGGCAGGATGACCACCCACTGTGTATGTAGGAGATACTTCCTAGGTACCCAGCAGGTGTTGGGAGAAGTGTGGCTTTGACCTCTACTGATGCTAGCTCTCAGCCTAATTTAGTCCTCTGGGTATCTGGGGTATCTAGGCTGGATGACCTCTTAACCCTGTCTAGGTGAGAATGACAGATCTGTCCCTAAATTGTTTAATGAGTTGTGTCCTGAATGGGAAGCCACTTTCCGCAATTCCTATGTCCGTGGGGGATTGTCTGTGCTGGTCTGGTATCAATAGGAATGTGGGAACACCCGGTAGAACACGTTAGGGCCTTGTCTCCCCACCCCATTATGCCCCAATAGACAGAGTCTCAGCACTCTGGAGTCGCTGGAGTTGGCACAGTGCCCTGGTGGTTGCCCCCCTTGCCTGGCGAGTGTGTGGGCAGGCTGCAGCTCCTCTCTTGCCTGGCACGGGGGAAGAAGAGGAGGGAGATGAGCCCAGTGGATTTATTTAGAGCCTGATCTCCCTCCTACTGCTTCAGAGGGGGCCTCAGGGAGAGCAATGAGCTAGCAGGAGGAGGCAAAGTGGGGGGGGGCAAGAAACAGAGGGTCAGGAGGAAGCAATGGGTCAGCAGGCTGCCCTCAAACTGCATCCACAGGCCAGCTTATCTGGCCTGACTTCTCAGCAGGGATGAAAAGGGAGCACCCAAGGCCCCACGGCCTCAGACAGGTCTGTTCCCGAGCTCATCTTGGCACCCTGGGCTACACCAGCTGTCCCTTCAACTGTTAGAAAGAGGTGCCCACCAGAGCCTTGAAAAGCATCTATCTGCTCTACAGCAATGCAATCAGCCCCAGAGCCCCGTGGAAAACTGGGTCCGGAAGGAGCCTGGTCCCAGAATCGACTGCCATGTGCCTGTCCTGAGCCTCACTGCGCATCTGTCCTGGGTGTGAGACAGGAGACTTGACCCAATCCTATCAGGGGATAGTGGTCCTTTCCCCAGAAGGCTCTCCTGTGGAGTGCTTGCCGGAAGACTGGCAACTCCAAGGGGCTCTGAAACTGCTCCCCGCTCTTGTCCCATCTTTCCAGGCATTCTTTCTGCTTTCTGAGCTCCGGGAATCACTGCCTAATGAGCTGATTTGTCTCAGTGGGTCAGGAGATAAAAGCAAAGAGGAGAATTAAATATTTATTGGTTGCCTGGTTCTCTGAGCAAAGAGCTTCCTTTCCATCCCCATGCCCTGAGCTCCCCTGGCCTCACCTCCAGGTCCTCCATGCTGAGCAGGAGCTCAGAGGAATCCTTAGCAGGGGGGCTGAGAAGGTGGACTGAACTCAGTCTGAGGGCCCACCCGTGTGGTGGCTGGCCTTTGGAAGAAGCTGGGCTATAGTCAGGGTGAGGGGTCCAGGTCATGCGCATGGGTGGTGGGCAGAGAGGGGTAACAGACATCGTCAAGTTCTAGAATTCCTATCTGCAGAGACTGATACCGACTCTCTAATGTTCTTCCAGATCCCCAATTTGTCATTTACTTGAGGCACAGGTCCGGTGTGTCTCCCCTGAAGCTCTGCTTCTGTTCTGTTCAGACCCCATAAACCTAGAATTTAGAACTACAGACGTTGCATTTTCCCTCTAAAGCCTCGGTGCCAGGGCCTTCAGTGCTTCCTCCCTCTGCCCCTTATGTCTTGAGCTTTGGGGCCACCTGCTCGAGCCTTCTCCCTACACTGTCCCTCTGCACACACCCGAGTACCTGGGAGACATGAAAGCCCATATCCCCACTTTCCTAGAGAGGCCGGCCCCCTTACTTACGCGCCCGGCCCCGCTGTCAAGGCGTTTTTCAAAGTCTTGAACTGGGGGAAGGGGTGAAGAGAGAGGTGTCATCCCAACCCCCCACCCCCACCCTCCCCGTGGGCACTCACCGCCTCCGAGTCCTCAAACCCGGGCACGTAGGAGTCGTCATACATGGGGGAATCCGGAGGGGGGGGGAGCGAGCGGCGCCGGGGGCGAGGACGGCGGGCCGCGCCCGAGATGCCACCGAGCCGCGCAGCCCTGCGGGCGGCGGCGAAGAGCGCGAGCGCGAAGGAGGGAGCGAGCCGCGAAGACCAGCTGCTCCCAGCTCAGATCACCGCTCCCCTCCCCACCCCCCAGCCCAGTCGGTCCCACCCCGAGCGCGCCAGCGCGGCTGAGGAATCTGCCGCCGGCTCCCACAACAATAGTGCCCGCCCACCTGACCCCCTCCCGGGAAGGCGCGGGCGGCGGGGCCGCCGGGGCCGCGGAACCGGGCGCACGCGAGCCGGGAAGGTGGGTCCCCGGCACCTCTGGGGCCAGGGCGACAGGGAAGGAGGGCGGAGAGGCTGCAGGCGGGGCGGATCCCGGCAGGGAGGAGGCGGGGCGAGGAGAGATGCGGAGACAGGGACTCTCGCAACCCAGGAACTGCTCCGCCGGGAAACAAAGGGCTGGCGCGGGGGAGGGGAAGGGGCGAGACGCTGCTACAAGACGCGACCCCAGCGGAGAATCGAGAGGGTGCGGAAGCCGGGGAGGCTGGATGGAGAGAGAGGAGGGCTGGAGGCAGAGAGGACGCGCAAGACAGTAAAATGGAGAGCTATGGGGGGCGGGCAACGGATGGGGCTAGGTCTCAGGTGATAGCGCAGTGTCGGCTCCCTGCACGTCCAGGAGACTCCCAAAGCAAACCCCACAGTGGTACTGAGGAGGAGTGGTTTGGAGATCCTAGACCGGTGCCATGCAAACAGCTCCTGCCCCAACAGGTGCGTGGCCCTCTGTGTTCCGGGCTGCAGCAAAGGACCGACCCTTGAAAGGGGGAAGTTCGGGTACTCTGGCTAGGCCTCCCCACACCTGTTGCACGGGCAGATTTCATCCAACTTAAGCCATGATGGATATTCTCTTCCTCACTTCCCTGCCAAGGATTGTGACAGACATTGCCACGGCATCCGTGGGAACTCGGGCAGAAAGGGGCTGTTTTTGGTGAACCTAAAGGGAGAGATCAGCCATGCCTGGTGTCTTGCCCCCTCAGCCCAGTTCCTTTCCATTCCTAGTTCCTCAATCCCAGTCCAGGACTCTGCCCATCCTTTCCTTTCCTGCTCTACAGGGAAATCAGAAAGCCACAATTTGCAAGGAAGGGTTAATGAGATCTATTAGAAGGTAGCGTGTCTGGGAGAGGAAGACCACCCAAGCCAACTGCTTTCTCACCTATGTCTCATCTTCCTGTTTCCTTGGCAAGAAAAAGACGCGGCGGGGGGGGGGCTCATCTTATGACACCCTAGTCTGTCTCCTTCTAACTGGCAGGCAACTTTATTCGAACCCTTGCTACTGAGGGCAGCAGCCGAGCCTGGGGTAGACAGCCAAAATTCACCGCTGAAATCCTGCATGTGTAGGGGTTAGTAAAATATTATATTCTGTGTCCCTAAGCACCACCTGTGCCTTCCTTTTTCGTTGTCTCTTTAGTCCCCTCCTTCCAGAGGGTGGAGAGGAAGGTACCAAAGAGTAAGCTCCTCCAGCCTCTCTCCTGGGAGATTCCTATCTGGAATCTCCTTTCCTGGCCTCTCATCTTAGGACTCACCACCCATAGAGAGTCCTGGGACTGTGGATTTGCTATTAGCAATACCCCATCCTCACACCTTGTTGTCTTCATTCCCAGCTGGGACAACTGGTATCTAAGTCTGCCCCTGAGAGATCCGTTGCCCTGCCAACCTCCTCCCCAGGAGATGGGTTCAAGTTCCCCATACCTACAGGCATCCCCTGGGTCCTGCAGGCAGTTGGTCTTCCTCTGATTGCTAACCAGTGCCCCTACATTTCTCACAACAGTCACACCTACTAGTTCAGTTATCGCGCTAATCTAGCTATGGCAGCAGGACTGAGGAGGAAAGCTGGGCAGATCCCAATTCCTGAGCACCAAGTGGGGAAACTGAGGCAGGAGCTGGGAATTCTACACCACAGGGAGGCCCCTAGCATTCCAGCTATTAGGTTGCTCCCTCCCCCCAAGGAACTCAAAGAGGGTCACAGAGGGAGCCTGGCACACCCCTCCTTCCAATAGCCCCTTTCCCGGCTCCCCATCAGCCCTGTCTGCACATTTTGGAGGAGCCGCCAGTTCCAACCTTCCCTTTCTCCCCCCCCCCCCCAGAGGTCCCTGCCTCCTGTTTTCCCTCCCTCTCCGTGCTGCAGTTTCTCCCAAATGCCGGAGCTTTCCTCCCACCCCTCTGGGGAGGGGGCCCCAGAGGTTACCTCGTTCAGCAGGAAGGTTGCGCTGGAGTCAGAAAAAGACATAGACCGGGCTAGTGGCCTCTCCCCCTCCCCCGGGCCAGGGGCTCCGAGGCGGGAGCAGGACCCAGCCGCGGCTCTGCACACTGCTCCAGTCTGCACGCCTGGCCTCGCCCCACGCCCGCCCAGCTCCAGTCGCCCGCTCCCTCTCCTAGCTCCTGGTTCCACCCCTTTTCCTCCCCCCCCTTCCTTTCTAGCCTCCTCCTTCAATCTTTCTTTCACTCCCAGTCCCTCCCCACTTTAGTCTTCCCTCTCTACCACCCCATTTTTCTATTCATCTGGTGTCTCTCACCGCCCTTCTTTCCTCACCTCGCTTCCCCCGCCCCAAGTCATCCCCTCCCCCTCCACCGGGTTTCCAGAAAGGGCATGGTCTGTGGAGCTCTGCCACCGCACGCAGAGGGCGGGAAAGGTTCAAAGACAAGCAAGGCACCGGAGCTTTAAGGGGGAGGTTCGGCTTCCTCCAGGCCCCAGCTTGGAGCAGGTAGTGTCGTCCCCCCCTCCCCCATCCGCCCTGCGCCCCAGGAAGAAAGGCCCTACTGCATCCCCACCTCAGCCGGGTAACAGACCGAGAAGGAAGAGTGCTGGTGTTCAGATCGCTTGCCTAAGCCTCATGACGCCCCTCAGAGTTCGAGGAAGCCACGACCAGCCTCCCTTTCCAGGTCCCGACCCTGTGACTTCTGCAGAATTCTTAGGGAGACAGCCTAGCAGGGACGCCTCCTGTGTCAGTTAGTGCTGCTGCAGGTCTCAGATCCGCCAAAGGGAAGGTCAAGGCGAGGTGAGGCGGCTGCTTCCCTACCCGCTGTAGCGCCCCCTAGATTCGATGCCGGGGTGTCCGCACCCGCCCTCCAGGTGGCGGCACCCACCGCACGTGCTGTCTCCTGCCAGCAGGAGGCGCTGCCGCAGAGGGCGCAGCCTGTATCTAGACCCAGCTGAATCCCCTTTCCAAGAGCCACATCCCCTCCAGGAGCCACATCCCATCTCCAGACCCCCCCAGGAGAGAACCCCAAGCTGCAGCCTGTCCCTACCCCTATGGGGTTCCTTTGAGACACTCGTGACCCCTCCAAAGCCCCAGACCGCTCTTACCTCCATCCTGGTCTCAGGGGGAGCCCAGGCAAGCCGGGCAGCATCCCAGCTCAGTCTGGGCAGCAGAGAGCACAAAGTCGCAGGACCGCTTCTCGGGTCAGTACCCCTTCTCGTCCCCTCCGGCGGGCACGTCAAAGCGGACAAGCCCAAGTTCTGGCGGGGGGGGGGGGCGGAGGAGGGCGGGAGCGAAGGTGTAATTCCCAATTCGCTTGCTTCCTACACCCTTCTAAGCGGACCAACCTCTCATTGGTCCTTTGATACTGGACCCTTCCCTGTTCTTAAGATAGTGGCTGCGCCTGGGCCTGGGGCAGGTGGGAGCAAACCCCTTCATGGAGACAGAACTGAGACCTTAACGACCTGGGTGGATGTCCAAGTTCACCAAGTTCACCGTAACATCGGCTGGAAAACCCCATCTCTCAGCCCTTCTTCGAACCCACTTTCTGGGATGGAGGGGGCTCAGGACCCCTCCCCTCCACCTTTCCTATTCTCTGAAGATCTCCAGAGACTGTTTCTCCCTCTCTGCTCAGTTGACTGTCCTCTGGTCCCATCCCAGAAAGAGCTACGGTGGAAGAGCTCCCATTCTCAGGGCACTCCATTCGCGGTTCCTCTTGGGCTGGCTTTAACCTGGAATGTGCCTGGCGAGGCCACCGCCTCCCCTTCCTCTGTGGTCTGTTCCTGCCACAGATGTGGCCACCCCAACTTACTCCGCTTCAACCCTGCAGAAGAAGTTTGAGGAGGGAGGGGTAGGAGGGCTTTTATTCTTTTCATTTTATTTTTTGTTGGGGGTTGGAATAGAGAGAACTAAAGTTTTGCTTAGGCAATAAGACCTGGAGGGAGAGAAGTACCTTTCCCTCCCCCACCCCCTCCCCCCAACGGCTCATCTCCCTCCCTCCCTTCCTCCCCTGCTGACCACAGCTAATGGACTAGCTCCTCTGAGCCTTGGGGCGCTTCAGTTTTCACAGGAGAAGCTATTGTGCCTGGCTTCCCTCCTCCTCTGCCTGAACCTACACCCCTGAAGCCATGGCCACATCTTTAAAACATAAATATCAATTCTCTGAGTTTATTGGAGGGAATCTGAGGTGCCCAGGGGCAGCCCACATCCCCTGTTTGTTCATTTTCACCCAAGCTGTGGGAGCTGGAGCACCTACCAGGTCTCTGCTATGCCAAGAAGGTAAGCATTGGAACTGAATTAGGGATCCTCACCTCCAGAACTCTCTGTCAAAGGCCCTCCCAGTGAGGTGATTGGCAGGTCACATACTCTCTACCTCCCCACTTAAGGTCTTTTAGGTTCCTGCTCTGCTCCTGCGATTTGAGTCTCTGGGCAAGTTACCCCAGCTTGGCTGTGTAGGTCTGTGCAAACCCTAGGTTCCTACACAGAGCCCCCACAGGCTTCGTCAGCTCACCCTGTCAGGATCCAGGATGCTGGGCAGTGCCCCTGTCAACCATCCTGGCTAGTCTGCCCTGCTGATGGAGAAATGGCTGTTAGGCTCCACTTCCCTCTTCAGAATAGTGTAATCTGGACAACTTAGTGAACGGCCCTGGTGTTTGGAAGTCTGGGCATTATCAGGACAGAATCAGTGGTCTTTTCCATTCTTTTGTACTTACTAGACCAAAACAGGTGCCGAATCTTGAGAAAATTATGTGAAAGTAACTTCTACAGGGAATTTCCACTGTCAACTCTATGTCTTACTCTGGGGAAGTTCCTCCATTGCTGCAATCAGTATTCTTTGCTGGGCTCCTCCTCAGGGCCTATAGAGTTATTTGATGCTTTGAAGCACTTTCAGGCTCCATTCCCTGATGCAGCATTTGCTATAAATATGTCAGAAGAGTTTCTTGCTGACGGTGCCTACAGCGATTGTGCCTTCCCTCCAGAAACCAGGCCCCCAGAGGGAATGAGGAGCAGCTATGGCTTCCAGACCCAACTCTTGCCCACTTCTGTGTATTTGGGGAAAACCTTCTTTGCTTGAAGTGTGAGTAGCCAGAGATGCTTGGCTCCAGGCCTGAGTGTCTGGCTCAGCTCTGTAAATGTTTGTTTTAGTCTTTGATCTCAGTTTCCCCTCGACTGCCATTGCATGCATTAGGTGACCAATTGTAAAGATTGGATTGCAGTATGAATAGAAGAATCCAGGCTGTCCCCGGTGATGGAGCTGGGACATCGGGAAAGCCAGGTCCCTAACATGGTTAGATTTTACCACCATTCTTCCTCTCTGCAGACAAAGAATTGCTTGGCACATTCCTGATATTTAGTATTCTGAATCCCCTTGCCATCGACAGAGTCAGTTCGGGTCCTCCACCCCCACAGTCTCCAAGCTCCTTAAACATCAGCAGTGGTTAGCCAGAGCGGCTGGGGTTGGAGAGGTGGGGGTGGAATGACAAACCCAAGAAGAGGTTCAGGGCTGTTAACTAAGATTACAGTTCCAGC